TCTAGTCTCTCACTGCAGTGGCCTGTTTAGTACTTTCACATTTTACAAAAAAAAAAAAAAAAAAAAAAAGTTTCATCTGCTTGACTCGATCTGTATGTGACACAGCTGATCACAAAACCCTGGTTTTCTTTTCCCTTTTTTTTGAACGGTCTTTCTCAGTGTCATTTAAGGGCTCCAGATCGTCTTGTCACCCTTCACGTAAGGATGCTCCCTTCTTCTGTTCCTACCTGGAGTGCCTTTTTGGATGATCTTACCCATTCTTACCACCCATTCATGCCCTGAATTAGCCCTACATTTACATTTCCTTGCCCCCTGTCATAATTTCTTAAAGGGAAGTTGTTCCTCAATTCAGACCCCATTTTCCCTCTACATAACAGCAATACTTTAAGCATCTTCTCTCTCTCTTTTTCCCTCTATTATTTTGTCAATGGGGAGAAATTTCTGCGCATTTATGGGAGCAATAACTCAGGCATTTGTACAAAATTTCTTGAATAGTAGACTCTTCACATTTAACCCTCTGCTATATTATTTTTTCTGTATCTTACAATCAGAGGAAATGAATAAAGTAAATTGTCTTGGTAATCAGAATCATTCCCCCAACAACCTATCTGAGTCTCATTTGTGAGGAAGTCTACACAAAGGATGATTCCACTGGTTGCTCAGGTGCTGTAATTATGCATGTGATTTTTCTGCAGCTTGTCAGTCACCTCACTTTCATTCCAGGGGAATTCAAGCAGTTGTGGCACTTTAAGACAGAGAAGACAGTGCGCCAGCCGCAGCGCGCCGGCCGCGGCGGCCATTGGAGGGTGAACCGACGGCAAAGGTTCCTCTCTGTCTCTCTCTCACACTGTCCACTCTGCCTGTCAAAAAAAAAAAAAAAAAAAAAAGACATGAGAATCAATCTTAGGCCAGCGCCACGGCTCATTTCCTTCAAGTTCCCCTAATGGCTCTTGGCTAAGACAGAACTGACAAATACCAGTTATCACCTGCTATTTTATTGGAGGAATCTTGAAAATGTTCATCCAAAAGTGATACAAGAACCATCCATAATGTGGAAGAAAATGGGAAGGTCAAGATTGGGAGGCTCAGTGTTTGCTTTCTTTTATTTCCTGGGAATATTGACAGGTGTGTATTGAAACTTAGAGAGGTACACTAGGAATCAGCAAACTTTGCAAAAATAGGGACACTGATTAAGGCAAAATTGAAACACTGTATTTGTAGGTACTATTACTAACTTGAGGAAGACTGTCTGGGCTGATAGTTCGCTTTCTTATTTTTCCCAGAATATGGCATTAGGGTACACACACATGGGAAGGCAGACCCACACAGAGTAGTTTGCTGAAAATGGCTAGCATGGGCTTGAAAGAGCCATTTGTACACATTTGTAAGTTTGTACACATTTGTAAGTTGATAGCTTAAAATTGAACATGGTGGGCACATTTACTCTACAAAAGTAAGCAAATGCTCCCAGTTTGTTTTTCATAGAGCCAGTTGTTAAATATTAAGCCACACACCATCCCCATAAAAGGACATTTTCACACAAGTTTCCATGACAGTTGCAGTAGTGTTCACATTTATCTAAAATATCATTGAATTAATGTTTCATGTAATTAAGGTTTGATTTTCTTAATGGCCTTATTTCCAATCTCTGTCCCAGAGGGTGGCAGCATGATGCAATTAAAAGGACCTGACGCTTTATATTGAAAGGTATTGTCAATCTCTGTTCTGTCCCTTTGGCTGTTTGAGCTTGGGAAGGTCACCTAAGCTCTCTGAGTCAAAACTACACTCTCTCAAAAGGAGGGATAATAATACCAGCAGGGGGATTAAATGGTGTTATGTGAGTAAAGCACTAAGCCATCTGACATAGACATAGAACTCACCTTGCCCACAGCACCAGGGTCACAGCCTAATAGGGTTTGATGTTGAAAGGTTCTCAAGAAAAGTAATCTCATGCAGCCTGAATCTGTGATCTGAGATCTTGAAAATGTTTAGTAACTATTTCATAGAGAGGGTTATTGACACAAAGTTAGTTATCCAAGGCTGGGTCTCCTGAATCCTAATACAGACTTCAGTCAGAACACTGGTGATGGTATTACCTCCAGAGCTTAGGTAGAACAGTTAGCTATTTCTTCTCTCTCTTCCTTCTTTGCTATCCTTTCTTCTTCTTTCCTTTCATTTATTCCCTCCCTCTTTCTCAATACAATTTATCTTGATTTGGATTTTATCAAGTTCCTCTGGTGCCTTACAGAGTGTAGGCTTCTTGACTAAAATTTAGATATTTGCAAGAGCACATTTGACTTCTACAGGAAACTTCTCATGCTGAAAGAGCTTGGTGTATATGACAGGTGAATTAAAGAGATGTGAGCAGATTGGGTGACCCATAGAAGATGATCAAGCCTGGAAAAAAGTGGTTATTTAGTGGGTGAATAACTTCTTAGGAAGGGTAAGAAGAAAAGTCCTGTTTCTTGAGAGCCTATAATGGGCTGAGTTCTGTGCTAGCAAGTACATGGTTACATTTATTTTCACAAAATATCCAAGAGCTTAAATACTGCATTCTGTATTTGTATTTTACAAATGAGGAAATTAAGGCTCACTGGCATTAACTTGCCCTAAGTCACACAATTAGCGTGTGGTGCAGTGTCAATTCAAAACCAAGGTGTCTGTGCACTATTGTCTTTCTCAGTGCTAGGTGAATCAGATCAGAGTATATGTACAACTTCCTCCCTATGCATGTCCTTTTCTTTGATGGGAAATTGGGCTATATGAGAAATATTTCAAGTTAATTGAGTCCCCTAACTTTCTACCACTAAGAAATGTTTTCATCTTAAGAAGTTGTACAAACTCTCCAGTACCATGTAGGTAACACATACTAATTTACTCAGCATATTCTACTGAATTTGGGTTTTCTTATGAAGTGAGAATCAAAGGCAAGAATGCCTCTGAAAGGAATGGGGAAAGTGCCAGTAAGTGGTTTAAAGGTAGAGAAAAAAGGTGGAAGGTGTGGACAACAAAGTCATTCATCTTAAAATGTTGTCAAGGCTCCACTCTGGCAAATTTTGTCTCATAGAGGAAGTGAACCCCTTATGCTCATTTATGCCCCTCTAGTTGGGGTGTCAAGGTAAGGTGGATAGAGGGCTATGGAATAACATGAACCTCTGGAGAAAATAAAGATCACCATTCTGCCTGGTTTGTAGGAGACAGAACTGGGATGACTCATTATGAGATCAGAAACGCAGATCCATACAGGATAGCTGTCAACAGTGGGATTTGTTTACATCCACTCCTTAGGGACAGTGCTGCTACTGATTTCTGCTTTGGTCTTCACCATCATATTAAACATATCTTTGCATTGTTACTGCATGATGAGTGGCTTTCAGGGGGCTTAGAAATCATGCAGGAAGAACCTCCCATTGCAAGGTCTGATCCTGAGCCTTGTGTTTGGAGAGGAAAGACTAGGAAAAGGAAAAGTATTTTATGCCCCGCCCCTTTATTTACCTTATGTACTCAGTGTATTTAAAGTGGGCTTTTACATTGACTAGAGCCCAACAGAACATGACAGCATGGTTTAGATCAAGGTAATTGGAACACAATATGCAATTTCATGAGCTAAAAGCCAGTAAAAGAAAGTTTTATAACAATGATGATGGAGGCTAGCACTTAATGCGTTCTCACTTACAGCAATGTCTGGTGTGTGTCAAATATTGGCTATGATGGTGGTGAGGAGGACGAGGAAGTGGAGGAGGAGGGTGTGGGTGATAACGGCAAAGATGATGATGGAGACGGTGGTAATTGTGACAATATTGATGGTAGCACTGATGATGATAATGGTGATTATGTTGCTGATAGTGATGGTGATGATGGTGGCAGTGGTGGTCGTAATGTGACACTGGTGGTGATAGTGATGATGATGACGTGGGGGTGGAGGTAGTGGTAATGATGGTGGGGAGATGGTAGTGGTAGTGTGCTAGGCATTGACCTAAGCACTCTGCTTGCAGTATCTTATTTAATGCCTGGGAACTCTATGAGACAGAAATCACCCCGTTTGACAGATAGATAATTTTTGAGTGCCACACAGCTAGGAAATGGTGAAGTCAGGGTTGCTAAAGCCCTGTATCTCAGACACTCTGCTGGATTAGCAGACTTTTCTTAAAGCACTGGCTTTGCCTAATTAGTCAAAACCAAAAAACAAATCCAAAGCATGAATTTCCTGCCTGTTACTTTTCTTCTCTTACAATGAGGTAATCAAACTTTGACTATTCCCTAAGATAATTATGCAAGTGTGCATGCATATACATGGAACTAACTTCAAGTAGAGCAGCATACTTTGACAGTGGCTTAAAATGTATTAGTTTGACATAAACAGTCAAAAAGAGATGAATTGTTTCTGATGAAAATTGTCATGTAGCCTGAGTCATGCGGGGAAAGTTCTAAAAGATCCAGGCTCTTCAAACACTAAGTATGGCATACACACCCAGTGATCAACAGTACAAAGCACCAGTCATTTAGTCCACACTCATACAGGCCATCTACAATGGGATTTTTACTTCTTACTATCAATAATCTATTTAGTTAAAAAGAGAAGCAGATAATTTTCTTGAGGTTATGCTTGCCTATAGTTTGTAATATGTAAACCTTGCAATTCTCATGTAGAATTTATTTTCCCACTGTCCTATAATAACTGATCTATTTGTGATTTGATATAAATATGGTATCACATCTGAACAAAACATGTACTCAACTGACAAATATGATGCACACGTAAATGAAATTTGGTTTGCTAGCAACATGTCTTTGATGGTTAGAAATGTTCCATGGAAATATTTAATTAGTAAAAAGAAAATAGTTTACAGGTAAAGCAAGCATCATTGATTTTTTAAAAGAAGAATTAATACTTAACTTCATGGTAAAAGGAAAGTGATAGCTTTTTTTTTTTTTTTTTTTTTTTTTGACAGGCAGAGTGGACAGTGAGAGAGAGAGAGACAGAGAGAAAGGTCTTCCTTTGCCGTTGGTTCACTCTCCAATGGCGCGGCCAGCGCACCGCGCTGATCCCGTGGCAGGAACCAGGTGCTCCTCCTGGTCTCCCACGGGGTGCAGGGCCCAAGGACTTGGGCCATCCTCCACTGCACTCCCGGGCCACAGCAGAGAGCTGGCCTGGAAGAGGGTCAACCGAGACAGAATCCGGCGCCCCGACCGGAACTAGAACCCGGTGTGCCGGTGCCGCAAGGCGGAGGATTAGCCTGGTGAGCCGCGGTGCCGGCCCAGTGATAGCTTTTTAGAAATTGTAGAATTTCTACTTTCAGCTTGCCAGGAAAGAATCACAAATGTCTCAAGAGATCATATACTACGACTCTAATAATAAAGCAATGTATATAGTGTATGATTAGTTGAACAGCTGGTGCAAACTTCCTAATTTAATCAAACAACAGTAGTTTTGTAAATTAGAATGACTGAAAGCTCCATAAACATTGTTTAATAATATCACTGACTGGTGTTTTTTCACCTTTAACTGTCTCTGGAGTAGAAGGAATACATAGAAATTTGCTTCTCACTTGTTAATAGCTACAGTAATGATAATAAAATGAATAATCAGCATTTAATGAGTACATACTTGTTCCATGCATTATATTCAATACTACTTGTAGACTCTTTTTTAAAAAAATAAAGAATTTATTTATTTGTTTGAAAGACAAAGTTACAGAGAAAGAGTGAGAGAGGACAGAAGAGAGAGAAAGTGAGAGAGAGAGAGAGAGAGAGAGAGATCTACTGTTCACTGGTTCATCCCTCAAATGGCCACAATGACTGAGACTGGGACAGGCCAAAGCTAAGAGCCTCAAAATCCATCCAGATCTCCCACATGGATTCACGGGCCTAAGGACTTGGGTCATCTTCCCCTACTTTCACAGCTGTATTAGCAGGGAACTGGATTGGAAGCAGAGCAGCCAGGTATCAAAACAGTGCCAGCATGGGATGCTGATGTTGTAGGTGGTAACTTAACCTGTTGTGCCACAATGCAGGCCCCTAAACATGTTTTCATTGCAGCCTTATGGGTCTGGAAACTGAGACATAGAGATGTTAGGTGACTCACCTTTGGTCACCTGGCTCAAAAATGAGAGAGAAAGGTTTCAAAACCAGACATAGAAAGTACAATGCCTGAAATTGAGTCTTTAGCAGTAAGCAAAAAAGAAGACAGCAAAACAGAATCATTACTCTTCTGATATTATCAACTACTAAATTTTGGTTTGCAGATGATCTGGGGAATAATATATGATATGAGATTATTCATGGAGCACAGAATGCCTTGGGTCTTGCATATTTAATTTCTCCAGACTTCCTTTCCTCCGTGGTTAAATGTTGATAATAGTACCTCCTAGAGTTATTGTGAGAATTAAAAGAACTAAATCCTTTAGCACTAATATGAGAGCCTTATATTAGTCTTATGATCCTTGCTGCTGCTGCTGCTGCTATAATTCTGGCGCACCTTCACTGTAAACTACAAGAGAGAGATGAATTCATGTGCAGATGTTAGCAGCGAGTCCATGAAGCACAGGTGAAGGCGTAGCTGGGCAGGCAAGGGAGAGAGCCCTGCAGGCAGGGGAAGCGAAGGCTACGTGTGCGGAAGGGCTTGTGTGAGTCAGAGACAGCAGCTAAGTTCAGCCTGACAAAACTATTCGTGCAAGATGAAGCAAGAATGAGATTGTGTAGAATATTGTATGTCATTTAATATTTCATGGTGTAAAATGTGTATATTCATCCTATTTGATCGTAAGTATTCCCAATCTGTTTTGTGAAAAAATTTTTTCAGTATAAAGAAGTATCGAGTTTGGCTTAATAATGACTTTTGTATATGATTCTCTGTGTAAATATCTTCATAAACCAATTTTCATTACTAATTTTTCGACTTCCTTTACCTTTTAAGCTTCTATACATGTCTGAAGTGTAGGGTTCAAAGCCAGGTATACATTCTTCACTGACCAGTGGTGTTTGTTTTATCATGTAGATGAAGACATATGTTTATTCCTCAGCTATGACTCTTTCTTTTCTTTTTTTTAAGATTTTATTTATTTATTTGAGAGGCAGAGTTACAGACAGTGAGAGGAAGAGACAGAGAGAAAGGTCTTCCTTCCATTGGTTCACTCCCTAAATGGCCGCAACAGCAGGAGCTACGCCAATCCGAAGCCAGGAGCCAGGTGCTTCTTCCCAGTCTCCCATGCAGGTGCAAGGTCCCAAGGACTTGGGCCATCTCCCACTGCTTTCCCAGGCCATAGCAGAGAGCTGGATTGGAAATGGAGTGGCCAGGATTAGAACCAGTGCCCATATGGGATGCCGGCGCCGCAGGCAGAGGATTAACCTGCTGCGCCACGGTGCTGCCCCCAGACTCTTTCTTTTCAAGTCACTCACATCCTCTTGGTCTCCAGGTTCTGTGAATTCCACTCCTGAAAGCATCTGGGACTTTTAGTCTCTCTGCCACCGGCCTATATGCAATCCTTCTTAAGCTTCTCTTGCCTGAACTATTGTTTCTGCATTGGACCTACTTAGGTGTTTCTGCCCTCCTGTGACTTTCTCAAACCTTCTCTGACCAGAGCCCCTGCAAAGTGAATATGGGCCAGGTAGTCACTCTGACTTTGTAAGTGAAAGGATGTGTGGCAAACTAAGGAAACCAGCCCAACCAATACAGTCTTTGCCCACCGACTCAAGAATTGACTGACAAGACCAAAGAAATTTCTCTTCCTGTTTGGTGAATACTGCTGTCTCTAAGACAAGACAACCTTGGACACAATAGGACGCCATGTTGGATCATGCAGAGTAGTTAAGAAGCTGGATAAGCGTGGGAGACAGACTGATAGAAGAAGGAGATAGTACAGCTCCCGGGAGGGAGAGAGAAGGGGATTCTTTGTTCATAACAGTCTTTTAGCTGCAGGTCCTGTGAGGCCTGTCATGGTGGAACTGTGCTTCCTGTGTTTGAGATAGTATATTTTGCAGCATGAATGCCTCTTTACTTGGGCTAATTGAGTTCCGCTTCATCCAAATATCCTCTACAACAGTTTTTAAAAGATCTTCCTGCTGGTACTTCTTTTCCCAAAGCAGTGATTACCAACTATGGCTGTATTGGAATCACCTGAGATTAAAATACTGCCGGATTCTATCTCCAGTCATTCTGATTTAATTGGTCTAGAGGTATTCTGGATTTGATTTAATACTCAGCTAGGGTTGAAAACCACACAAAACCAGCATTCCCAATATTTTCTGATAACAAACATTGCCTGGAGCAGTTGCTAAATATTCCTGGACTTCTCCGATTTAGGGTAGAATTGGTGTTTTTTTGTTTGTTTGTTTGTTTTTTAATCACTTAAGGTCATATGGATCAGTAGGAAAGTGTGGGAAACAGTGTTCCTATTCACCTTTCTCCCTGATGCCAAAATAATCTTTGTGAGCCATACCATTTACTAGCCACAGGAACTTCGATAATTTGCCATTGCAGCTGATAAAATACGAGTACTTGGGCAGAGCATTCAAGATCAATGTGTTCCAGTCCACCTTTCCAATCACTCAGGCATCCAGAGTCCAGCCACACACTGTACACAGTCCCTGTTTGATTGTACTCTTTGTGTGTTTTTGCCTGCAATCATCCTGACTCTGCTTTGTTTCCTAAAAAAAATGACCCATTATTATAGGCTCAGTTCAAGTGTCATTTTCTGTATTTAACTGCTCTGCCTCCCATTTTTCTCTTCCTGATTTTCCACAGGACTTTGTACTAATCTCTATTGCATGTTAATGGTATATATATCTTGAGTTTCTGAAAGGGTTCATATTCCATTTTAATTATCTTGTCCCCCTCAGTGCTGGGTATAATGCCCAGCATGGCAGTGGTGTTCAATGAATAAATGAGTACATGAGTAAAGATTAATTCTACTCTCTGTCAGTACTTTAGTTTGTTCCTTGAGTAGTGAAAGACATTTTGGAGCACTAGCTGGAGTTATTTACAGTAACATTTTTGCTAATTTATTTTAATCTATTCTTTTTTGCATTGACCTGTCATTGGTGAGCTTTAATAACCCTCTTTAAATCAAGATGCTTTGATTTTATTTAAAAAATAGTTGTACAAAGTCCATATTCATCATGCTTCTTTGTTAGAATAGCATAGGACTTGCAAGTTGCTCTACACTAGTGGTTATGTTCAAGTGTATATGTTATCTGATAGAGCTCAAGAGGTCTTTCTCATTCTCTTTCATTGCCAACATTTTGCACATTCAAGGAAAGTGACTCCAAGTCCAAAAAAGAAAGGCCAAAAGGTGAGGTAGAGAAAAAATTAAATTAAAGTCTGAATAAACAAAAAATAAAGACACCCAATGCTAGGGGAAAAAAATATGACAGAACAGCCAGTTTTGTTTTAAGAAACTGTAAAATGAAATCCTGTATGTTTTCATCATATAAAGTTTTAGTTCTTCCTAAGTTTGCCAAATTTGAATTATTTTTCTGAGGGAAGATTTTTTTTTATAACTGTCCTATGTTTTGGTTTCAATTTCTATAGTGCAAGCTGAAGCTAAATTTGCAGCGAGTTAGCATATAACTTATTTTAAAAGCTTAAATGGGGTCTTGTCCATGCAAAGTAAAGATTTTAAAAATCTAGGGAGGCTAGGAGGAAAGTATCATTATGTAATTAGAACTGTGTCTGTGAAACACATGAAATCTGTTCTTTTTAATAATTTTTTTTAAGATTTAAAAAATTAAAACAAGCGAGAGCAGCGCTTCATCATTCCTCATTTCGTGGCCAGTGTGAAGGGTGTGCACCGAGGGGACATGCGCTGTTTCTGCTGGAGCATCCTGTCTCAACATCAGTCCGGAGAGAGCAGAGCGAGAGGCTGTTTGTGCAGGAGTCCGCGATGTCTCCCTCTGGGGTAGGGATAGTGAGACTCCATGGCCGCTCTCCCCACCCCCAGTCCTGTCCCCTTCTGCTGAGGCACCAGCATCATCATGCTCTTGAAATTCAGTGTCCATGCATAGAACTACAGTGGCCGCAGGAGAGGGCTGCTTCTAATGCTTATTCTCTCCACACAGGTGTGCATCCTGCTTCTAGTTGCTTCTCACTCAGCTTTATAAAGTACTTTTTCATCTGAGTGCTCAGAATCGCTGATGAAGATCATCTCATTTTTTTCTTGCAGTGTTCCTAGGAGCAGACTACGTTTCTCTCCTTTGTACAGTGGTAGAAATAGAAGAGAGGTGCTCCCTTGGATGTCAAAACTGCAGCAGAGACTGTGGGGGTGGTGACAAATGTACTCTTTAAGGACCAGGTCTGAAGAGTGTAAATGTATCTGTCACACTGAATGGGGTTAACTGAATGGGGTTAACGACTTCTCCCTGCTGCTTTGGTACCCTGGGTGTTCCTACTGTGTGATCCAGGTACCTGGACAGCTTTCTCTACCAGGCTTGTTTGGTTGAGGGGAGGGGCGGGGAATATTTGCTCTACTTCTTGCATTCATTTTCTATTTTTAGACAGACACTGGAGCAGAGAAGGGAAAAGTTATTTGCCTAGGAGCAAAAAGTTGCTCATTATTGAATCTGGTTCCACAATAGGGAACTATTGATTTCTATTCATGCTGTTGGCTCTAGGGTTTTGTCACTCAATTTTCTATTTGCATCATTGTTATTGTTACTGTCTTTTATAATAGTCCTTAACTTTGGGATAATTGAAGTGAATAACAAAGAAAAGACCAATTTAGGAAAAGTGTGTAAAAATGGTAAAATGATGGATACTTTGACCCTGGAAAGAAAAAGAAAAATAGCAGTCATACTCACAAGTTTAAAGGAATTGTTCAGTTGGATGGTTCTGAAAGGATACAGCCTTGTTATTAACGCTGAAAAGTTTAATTACATTTCATTATACTTTACTAGCTTCAAAGGGGACCATGAAAGCAAAAACAAAAATGCTTAATCTCTAGGAGCTAGATTTTCCTGCTGCTCTGTAATGTAAATATGTCTGTGTGTGTATTAAGATTCACACACTCCATCCTTTTGACTGGCTTTTAACGGAGAGGTCACCTGACTTCACCTAGAGCCGGCCCCCCGCCCCTTCCCAGAGGAAACCCAAAAGTGAGAGGCAGGCGTGTGCATAACACAAGTTCTCCTGCTGAGAGATGTAAATGACCCAGACTGGGAATCGGGAATCCAGGGAGGGTGCTGGTGGGGGGTGGGGAAAGAGCCACGGAGAGCGAGCGTAAGCGAGACCGAGGAGAGAGGAAGAGAGAGAGGAAGTGGGGGAGAGAGGACGAGTGAGAGCGAGGGGGAGAGAGGAGTGTGCTGCATGCTTCATCTTTGAGAGGAGGAAAAACAAAAGACCTCAGCGGCAGTTTTGTGTGGCTGTGTCTGGCTCAGAGAGGAAAATTCTAGACATCCATGCTGAAAACATCCATCAAGACGCGCATCTCCTCTGAGCATGTGTTGGATCAGTACAGGTGGTTTGAGAAGACACTGACTGAGGACCATGGAGAGGTGGGCCAGGACGCGCGGCTCGGCGGCTTCCCCTGAGCTCCGCTCCAGGTTGGTAAGCTCAAACTGACCGGGCTCTCGCTTCCATATCTGTCTATGTCTGTGTGTGCGTTTTCTATTTATAGCCTCCGAGCCCTTCTGCTCCCCAACCCTTGGGTGAGGCTGTGCCATATTCCTCCAGCTGTGAACCTCAACTTGACTCCACTCGCAGCTCCTTTCCCCAGCGCCTTCCGTGGGCTTGTGGAGCTTTTGTCTAACGGCAGCCGGTGGAGAGCTGTCATGATGTCTCCCTCTGAGTCAGGATGTGTGTCTGAGCCCCAGATTGCCAGGTGGCTGCTTGGAGAGTAGTTGGCATTTTGCTCCAGAAGGCTGCAAATCATGATTGGGTTATTGTTGAAATGTAAACAGCAAATATCTGCTGACTTGGCGTCTCTCAGCTTGTCGGAATAATTCGAAGGTAGCCAACTTCATTTGCCTTATGTTGATTCCCCACTTAATTGAGTTCGAATATAGTAAGTTTGAAATGGCACCCCACCAACAAAGGCACACACTAGGTGTTCTCCCAGCCCAGTGCCTTTCACCGCCTCCTCTTGGAGCCCGGGCTTGGAGAACGAATCTTCTTGGGACCTGGCTTGGGGAAAGAATACAATATGTCATAATTAAAATAGATCAGAAGCCTTGTTTTTTTTTATTTAAATGAGTGGGTACAGATGTGTGTCAAACACATGCATAATTGCCCTTGTTTCTTGCTGTGCAGATAGAGTGTCTTTTGTTCCAGCGTGTGCATTTTCCTGTGTTTTTACAAAGAAAGCATCGCCTTGCTGCCTGTGATAGCAGCGGCGTGTGTGCCAATTTGCCATTGTGCCCTGGTCAGGAATATGCTCTCTTCCGAAGTAAACTGCCCAGAGGTATTAGTCAAGAAGCTGGGAGGGGTGGCGAGTGGGGAGAGGCGCCTTTTTTTTTTTTTATCCTTTTTTTTCTTTTCTTTTCTTCCTTCGCCTCCCAAGTGTCTAATTCACATGATTTGAAGAGGAAATGGGAGGAAGCGTTAGTTTTGAATAGAATGCAGGTCTCTGCCGTGCGATGATTGCCAAAAACTGTATCAAGAAGATGCTCTGAGCGGAGGGATTGCAATTGGTAATGGACTCTTTAAGAAAATGTTCCGTGAGGGTGACTGCCTGGGTCCCTCTGGACCAAATTAAGATGCACTCTGGCAGTGCACTAGCAGCTGTGAGCTGACATTTTCTTGTGAACCTCGTGAAAAATGGCTCCGGAGCCCTCCTCCTGTCCTGAAGAGGTGGTCGTGGAGCAGTCCAGCCTCTCCCCAGCATTGTGCTTTGCTCTGAGCTGCTTTCTGAGAGGGACAACGGACTGACTCGTGCTTCCTTTCACTTTGCCTGCCTTGTAGAATCTCGGCTTGAATGGGAAGTGGGTGGTGACGGTTTCACTGCAAATACAAACTGCCCAGAGCAGAGCTAGCAGAAGATATCTTTCTGGCAATCACAGGTTTACATTTTTTAAAGGATAAAGGTGCATATATATATATATATATATACACACACACACACATACATATCTATATATATACACACACAAACACATACACATATATTTGGAGGTGATATAAATCACTTTTTATTGTTGTTAAGTGGGCTTGTAAACCATTTCTCTAAGAAAAGACCCACACATGTGTAGCACTTTATGTTTGGAGTTCTGGCGCGGGAGGTGACAGGTGAGAACATAGGGATCCTTGCCTGTCATCCATCCATCTCTGGAACGATAAAGCAGCCCCTTTCTTGCTTCCCGTTTTGTTCTCTCTCTCTCTCTCTCTCTTTTTAAATTGTGATCCGCGGTGCAAGGAGAAAAAGAGGTCCCAGCCTGAGAGTGCAGGGCGCAAATGCACAGCTGTCCTATCCTCACATGTGCTTATTAAGGAATTCCTGTACTGAGCAGAGAGGAGGTGTGCAGCCGCCACACCACTCCTTTATTCAGGTTTGGGTTTGTGGAAGCTCCAGCCAGCAGAGGCAGGATCTGCTTTAGGAATGAGCTGTGTGCTTGGGCGACTGGTTCAGAGCATGTGTTGTTTGGGCAGGGAAGGGGGCGTGAAATCAACTGTTCTCTGTTAAACGGCTTCTGGGCTGACTGTGTGAGTATAAAGTGGGATCAGGAGGAAGGAGCTGGGCTCTTCCAAATTCAGTGAGACACTATCCACTAGGGGAGGGGCCATGAGGATGCAATGTAGTGCAAAAGTGTGTGCACTGCGCACAAAGAATAATTTTTCAAATTGTATGATAGTGTCCTGATTACAGAAATTTGGAAGAAGTTCAATGCTTCCTGCAGAATGACATGGGGCTGTCTCTACACCAAGGACAAGTGAGACTTTAGTGCCATTATTTTAAAAGCATCTTGGAGAGACCTTCATCAGAGTTCTGGATATTAGACCATTTACCCCACTGAAGGGTATCCAAGGGCTGGAATCTTGCACGTGTTTCTCTAGCATGGAAGTCAGAGTACAGACCTGTTTGAAGTTTGTTTGGGATATATTTTTTAAAGATGTATTTATTTTAAAGGCAGAGTGACAGAGAGCTAGAGACAGACAGAGATATCTTTCTTCCATCTACTGGTTCACTCCCCAGATTCCTGCAGGGGCTGGGCTAAAACCGGGAGCCTGAACTCCATAAAAGTCTCCTACATGAGCGCAGAGTCCCAGGAACTTGGGTTATCATCTGCTGCCTCCGAGGCGCATTAACAGGAAGCTGGATCAGAAGTGCAGAGTAGCTAAGACTTGAGGCAGGCTGGAATGCAAGTGTCCCAAGTGGTAGCTTCTCTCACTTGTGCCACAAGGCCTGTCCCTGGAAAATTTTTAATAAAGCTAAAAGCTCATAGAGGCAATAAGATTCCTCTCTTTGGTGGAACAACAGAAATGGAACTTTATAACACAGCATGTAGATCTGATTATTGCTATGATTACACATGCTGGCAATTTGACTCTGGAAAATGATATGCTTTGGGAAATTGATGCAATTATGGTGGAATAATGAGCAAAACAGTAGACAGTCCATTAAAACCATAACATGGGTCTCATAGTCCACAGCAGGATCACGTCTCCATACTGTTAATGACTACAAGTGAGTGGTTTTACCCAAGAAACTGCAGCTGTGGAGATGGAGAGGACCTTCTTCATAAAGCAGAGCACGTGGGGTTCACTGGCTGTATCAGAAGTTGGATGGTACTCTTATTTAAGTCAAGTAATGTGTGCAAGCAGAAGAACCAAGAATCTTAGGAACTCACCAGTGTATTTTTGTTTTAAAAACCACAAAATAACTATAAAGTATGGGAAGAGCAGCAACCATCAAGGGAGAACTGAGAAAATCCAGGAGGAGTAACAAACTGTCTGCAGTCAGGGGTGTGTGCCGCCCAAGCAGCATTCCAAATACCGATGAGCTAATGAGAACCAGAAAGGCAAAACAAAAAATATGCACATGTTCTTACAGCTTTGAGTTTAGGGAAAGGAAGATTTCCTAAGAGTAAAATTATTCAAAAGATGCCCATGGCACAGAAAGGAAAAGTTGAGATAAAACAATGACGTTTCAAAGATTTTTTACTCTAACTGGATTCTTCTTGAAATATTTTTAAACACAGTGCTACTGACATTAAGAGAAAGTTGCCCTGGCCTGCTTTCTGATGTCCATTTTCTCAGTCACTTTTAGAACTCTGTGACTCTAAATTTTAATAAGCAGAGGCATGATAAAAGCTTCCGAGCTTAAAATACTTTATGTTTAATTTCAGGCACATTTCTCCTCTAAGCCTGTCATAGCTTCAGCTTTTGCACCAAGTCGCACAGCCTGCAGCAATCTCACGAAGACCTCAGCTGCTTACTCTGAAGACAACAGATTTATAATAACTGAGGAGAGAAAATCTATTGCTGTGTTGACTGCATTAGGTGGTGCCATGTTTAAAAAGGTTAAAAACTTGTTATGATGTGAATTATCATCCAAGCAATTAATAGGTAGCTGAGGTTAAAGCATGTATGTTATGTTTTTCCAGCATATCTAGACTTATGTTAAGTCTGTGGGGGTGAGGATTGGCTTTTTTCTCTGGCTCTCCTCACAAGGGTGATATTCTGTCACATGAGCGTGTTCTCCAAATGCAGTGCCTTATTCTGACTTCGCCCATAGATTCCTCCACCCAGTTGAGTACTTCAGATCCAATGAGCGTGATAATGTCCTAATCAAGACATTTAGTCTTCACCTGTGAGAGGACACACACAATAGTACCCCCTCCTTTCTCCCTACTTCCCTCCCTTCCTTCCTATTTCTTTCCTCAGTAAGGCAAGTGAAACTCTGGACTCTTCAAGGAAACCAACAATGATGTATGTTATGAAGCAGGAGACTCACTGTCAGGCAGTTAGGACAGGAAGAGAATGCAAGGCACGCGTTCTACTGATGACTCCTGCTGAGGCCTTGCAGATCAGGAGGTGCCTTTCTTAATAAGACCCCAGCCAGCTGCTCAATTCATTCATCTCCCTGGGAAGTGGGGGGAATAGTGCCTTAAGAGATCACTTTTGCTGTAGATTAACTTTGAAATAGACATGTCCTGGCCAGCGCCGCAGCTCAATAGGCTAATCCTCCGCCTGCAGCGCCGGCACACCGGGTTCTAGTCCTGGTAGGGCAGCCGGATTCTGTCCCAGTTGCTCCTCTTCCAGGCCAGCTCTCTGCTGTGGCCCGGGAGTGCAGTGGAGGATGGCCCAGGTGCTTGGGCCCTGCACCCGCATGGGAGACCAGGAGAAACACCTGGCTCCTGGCTTCGGATCAGTGCCATGCGCCGGCCGCAGTGGCCATTGGAGGGTGAACCAACGGAAAAGGAAGACCTTTCTCTCTCTTTCTCTCTCTCTCACTGTCCACTCTGCCTGAAAAAAAGAAAGAAAGAAAGAAAGAAAGAAAGAAAGAAAGAAAGAAAGAAAGAAAGAAAGAAAGAAAGAAAGAAAGAAAGAAAGATGTCCTGCAGGCAGTTTGGGTGTCTTTAAGATCCTCTTAGGGGGGCAGATGTTG